CTACTTTTTCCCACACTATACTTTTCTTCCTCAAACTGAAGCTCTTCCTCCCCAACATTAACGAAAAAAATTCAATATAGGCCTCCACCCACGTAAAAAGTCGAATTCCTAAATGAATATCAAAAAATGGCTTTCAAAACCCCATATTTTTCTTTAGCATGCTGCAGCCCGGTTGAGAAAGCACACTGCTGAATTTCTAAAAAGAAAATAGACTGTATGAAGTTAAAACGCATCATAATAACTTTTACCTCTAAAGAGATAAGTCACCTTGACCATAAAAATTCTACTAATACTGAAGTCTTATAAGCGCGTATTGCAAACGGCAAAAAAAATGGCACTCGCACGATAAAACAGAAGTGAATTCCCCCTCAACTTCAATTTTACTTCTTATTGCTTGTAAAGTTTACTTTTTCACTAAAAACGCTCAATGTTAACTTTCCTTCTCCCTATAAAATAAGAAGAATTCTAAGTAAGATAATATTTTGGATACCTGGTGCAAAATGTCCTGCTGTTCAACCAGCAAAACTAAACTTGCATCTACTTTCTTGAAAATTTCACGACTCGTCATCATCAGCTTATGAAGAAAACGAAAGCGACGAGCAAGCTCGAGTGCTACAGGAGGAATATCCGTTCGTGCAGCCTCAGCCTTAGCACGATTTATACTTTCCTCATTAGATTCTTCAGGCACGATTAAATCACATCTATAAGCGGTACCAATACTGGAAACGGTGTATCCAAGCGAAGAGCGCTGCCAACAGTAAACGAGTAAAATTGAGCTTACTTTAGCACTTTCTCCATCTTTGGAAGATAATTTATTAATAATTCGTCTTGATAAATCACCCTGTCGAAAATCCGGTGATTTACAACTTTCCAGCTTATACCAAACTGCTTAAAATATTTTTCATCCTAAAACCGAAAAAATCTCCCTCATTTCGTTAATAAATAAGCAAAAGATATCTAATAAAAAGTTTCCAAAGCTTACGAGATTCAAAAAGCAGCCAAAATATAAAAGAGCAAAATCGAAGCAAAACGAAAAAAATCAAACCAGGGGAGCTAACAACGACGACATATTCTGAACGGTTTCTTGATGCCTCATAAAACTTTTGAGAAGGGATGCAATGAACAATTTAGCCCTTTCCAATTCCATCTCCTCATTATTAGCTCCAGATTCGCTTAACTAAATATTAAAAAGAAAAAAAATAAAAAATTTTCAAAAACCAAGAAACTGCCAGACTTTTAAACAAATAAGTAGCAGTACTACTACTTAAACCGACAATGAAAACTTAGCATCAAAATAAGAAAACATTTTTTAAAACATGATCTTTTCGTGATTTTTTTCCACTACATTTTATACGTGACGCTTTCCCGAGATAAATTCATACAGTTCAACATTATCTATGAAGCCGAAGAGATTCCTCACTTTAATCAAAGCAGGAACAACTTGTGGCGCTACCAGTATTTGCCACAAATCATCTGATTTTAAATTCATTACATGCTCATAACCAATACTCTCCAGACGCCTATACAATTGAGGTGCGTCTTTTTCAGTTAATCTAAAATTATAGTGTAATCTTAAGAAACGTTACGGTCCTGAACACAAATGCAGAATTTTCTGAAATCCAGTAAAGACATCTTCATCTAGATTGAAGACCAATACAGTAAACAATACTAACACTTCTACATGTCGCCTGAGCCTCTCAACATCATATTTCTTCCCTTTTAAAGAACACATATCTGTGGTTAAACCATTTCGAAACATCAAACGAATATTTTTCTTCAAGTCATTCCAGTAGCTCCGCAAAAGCTCAACTTCTCGAAGTCTCTCTTTTTCCATAACTCTGCAAATTATATGCCGACACTACCTCACAATATTAAAATAAGCTTCAAGACCTACAAAAAAAAAAGAAGAATATACAATACTTACTCACGCCGCACACAATTCTTGCAGTCGCACCTAGAGGGGCTAATACTTGCACAACCAACAGACACTGACCTAAGCTTCTCTTTGTTTTCCTAAACAGTCCAATAAAGCAAAGAATAACGTCACTTGTAAAAAACCTCAAAAATTGTAAAAACTAATCAAAGATTTCATTCAAACAGATACCTTTAAAGCAGCTTCGAGGATTCGTGTATGTTCCTTTTCATTTTCTATGCACTCATCACATATATAGTACGCCTAAAAAACAGTAGATTCCAATTAAAAAAATAAGTTTCTTCGTAACAAAAAGAATTTTGTTTTTTTATTGATATAAATTACCAAAAATGAAGAAGATCGGCTATTAGGACAGACGATCTTTCTCTGGCAAATAAGGCAGGCAATACGAAACCCCTTTTTCACATCGCTTTCAGTAACAGAGTGGACAGAAACAGAAGTTAAGCGACGACGTGATAAACCCTCGTCGCGATTCTCACCAAAATGCTACAAATGGAAACAGTAAAAAAGTGAGAACACTACGTCGCAAATATCTGGAAGAAAAGTATTGCAAAATAAACAATACTAGACAGCAACAACAACACAGGATTTAAAGGAACTAGTCACCTTATTTTTCACTTGTTTGCCGCTATAATATTCACAAGCTTCATTGTAATTTTCTCGTTCTTCATCACTTTCGTGGCTATTTATCTAAACAGCAAAAAAAGATACTTAAACACCAAGCTGAGTCCCTAAGCCCCTCAACCTCGAGGCAAATAAGATAGAATAAATTGACACCGTTCAATTACATGTAGACTTATTAAACCTTTTCAAAAATGCTCTCTAAAAACTAGTCTATTTAGATCAATTTTTGCCTTTTAGAGACAATTTACGATGACTTTCCCTTATGGTCATTAAGAGACAAACTCTCAAACGAAAAAATGAATTAAAAAATTATCATTCTCGACCCACGTGACATTTAAAATAAAAACGAATGTAAAAATTAAATTAATGACCCACCAAAAATGAAATGAAATAGTAAAAAATTTTAAACTACAGAAAGTCAATTAAAAATCCATGTTATGTTTCACACTCTTTTGTTCCTGGGCTTAATCCCTTAAAGGGTAACTCTTGCTTAAAACCTGTGAAAATCATTTTTGTCACAAAAATTTACTCAATTAAGCGACAAGAACTCGCAAAAAACATACTTTTCTATTTGACCTCCTAGCCAGTTTTGAGTCCATCGTGCTTGAAGCCTTCTGAGTTTCACTCATACAAACAGACGACAGGAAATCTCAGGAAAACTAAAAGTATATGTTTCTGGAGAACAATGCAATAAAGAACCAGAGTTGTGTACATATGCATCACATGTCGAGCTAAAACAATCGATCAGCTCATTTTAAAACCAGGTCTCATTCGTTTTCATGAGAAAAAAAAACCAGTCGACACCAGGTTACCTTCCTTAATGCACAGAAAAAAGCAATCTAACAACGAAAGACAATTACCAGGTCCCTACCACTAACTAGAACCGGAGCAAAAATGAAAAATAAAAAAAACCATCACTCCCACACCTGTAAAGATCAAAATAGAACCTTCACCAACAAAGAGAAATTCCAAAAAGAACTTTGAACTCTTTTTCCTTCCCTCTTCCTCCCCGCTTTACCCATATCTAATCCAGATCACAAATCAACAGTTACTCCAAGCATGATATTCTTTAAAATCCCAATACTTTTTATGCCCTTATCTCACTTGTGTTTTGAAGCGGGAGCCTTCAACTACGTCTTCCCGTTCATCTACTCCTCCTTCCTTCCACTCAAACCCTACCCCGGCTTTCTTGAAAGTCCAACAATCCAAAAACAGTAAATCAGCTGCAATATAGCTTAATAACACCAACTTAAGGCCATTTATCATTTAGCAGATCAAAGTTACTTAGAAAAACAAAATATTAAACGAAAATAAAATATATTATCACCTACAAAATATTACTGCTGAAAAAAACAAAATATTATCACCTACAAAATATTACTGCTGCCATAGCAAAAAGCATTTCTAAAAAACTTTTTTTATACTAACAAACAAAAATGAGGTGAAAAAAAATTTTTTTTTTTTTTTTTGAAAAACAGGTGATATCAAAAAAGAAGACGATAGCAGTATGAATGACAAACACTAAATCAAATATTTTAAAGCTTTTGGTTATGAACAAAAAACCAGCAACAAGAAGAATAAATTATACGTGAAAAAAAAAAAAAAAAAAAAAAACAATACTTTTCCTGGAT